ATGACAAAATATTTTTGACAAATAGAAGTGCATAACTAATGATAAATTTGTGATGTCATGCATTATTTCTTTCTTTTGTTCTTTTGGTAGTTCATAACAAAATATATCGTAATACTTGTAATGTACTAAAAGTACTTGACCAATGAGCATTTATACTAAAAAAAAATTAGTTATTTTTCTCTACCTTCTATACGGGTGAATTGTGGTATATATTAAATCATACATTAGTATGTCCTTATTCTTAATTTTCATCATTTGTTGACATATTCACTTTCAAGAATGATAGACTTTTCCAGACACTTATCTCAAGTCACGTTCACTTAAAGGAATTGATTATAATCATATATGTATATTTCATAATTATTTTTGAGATAAGACACTAGTACCCTCTTAGACTATGAAAGAAATCTCAAAGACACATCTTAACTAAACTAAAGTCATATTACCCTCATGAACGTTTTTTTTTTGTAATTTTGTACACCTTTTTGGCCTATGTGGCCTCCAAACATCTCTCACGCACCTCACTTAAGTGGAGTCACGGAGTGTTCCATGTAAGCCATAAAGTGTATAATATTACACAAAAAATGAATTTAGGGGGGTAATAAGACCTTAGAATAGTTAATGTGTATCTCTGAAATTTCGGTGATAGTCTAGGGGGTACTTGTTCCTAATCCCATTATTTTTAATTAGAAGTAATGCTTTGAAATTTATCATATTTATATGACACACCTCGACATCACTTTTGAAATGTCAAGTGCACCTTTACAGTGATGACTATTATTATTTTGTCCATTCATGTTCATATTCATATGTCCAATCATAAAATAATCTTGTCATCTTTGATAATTTTGTTGAATTTTTGTCACATTCACTTCCATGGGTGAAGCATATTCAATTGAACGGACTTCACGTTTTTGGTCAAGAGCATATCAATTTGCTTAGTCATCATTATATCATAAATGTACTGTATTTGGATCTTAATCCATTGTATTATCTATATAAAGGTGTGTTAGGTCAAAATATGATGTAATTTGAACTCAAAATCTTATCATTAAGACTTTAATCGATGTCTTATCCTTTTTATGCGATGAAACTTTAATCCGTCCTCTTAAGCTCAATCAATGACATTACATATAATCCAAAATAAAATAAAATCACCCATATATTATCATTTTATTAATAATAGTACAAATAAATTTAGTTATAATAAGACTTGAAAATATCATATATAAATGGGATAATGCCCAAGTACCCCCTCAATCTATGCCCGAAATCTCAGAGACACACTTATACTATACTAAGGTCCTATTACCCCCCTTAACTTATTTTATTAATAATTTTTTA